TGTACTATAAGTGCAAATAACCCAAAGATAATATTAGGGACAAAAATAAAATAAAAAATTGAATGAGTAATATGAAATAAAAACAAATTGTTGAACCAATTGAAGTATTTAATAAAAATATTAAAACATATTCATTGTGACTAAAATATAAAAATAAAAACATAAAAGGCTCAAACACATAATATTCCATTTCATTTTAAATCGAAATAACAAATTACAAACCTAGAGGGACCAATAGGGATATTATCCCCTAAAGTCACAAAAACACGGGAATGGGGAGGGTAAAACGACGTAGTTTCATCGGAGAGAAACCGGTCGCCAGGCCGACCACCGCCGACCGTCGCTCCGGCAGCCACCGCGACTCACCCAGAAGTTCCCCTTAACACCCTAAACCTATATCCAAAACCAAAATCACACAAAAAAAACCCCAAAAGGCGTAGATCTACCCCCAAAGTTTCAATTTTTTAATTTCGATGGTGACTATTCGACATCAGTTTCTTGGTATTTTGCTGTTTTGGTTGTTGACCAGTTCTCCGATCGTTGGATCGGGGTATTGTTTTATCTACGTTAGTTGTTTCTGTGTGTTTTTGTGTTCGAATTTGGTTGTTTCTATTGTGGTTCCTGCTGTTTGGTTTCGATGTTGTTTTTTTTATCTTGGTCCCTGTCTTTTTGGTGGTTTGGTGGGGGTATTTATATCCCCTCCACCGGTGGCCCTTCCCGACTATCTCGGGATCATTCTCGATCTTATTGTTGTGGACCGTTCGTGGTTGATCGGCTAAAACGGGTTTAGCCGGGACTGACTGCCTTGGTTATTTCGTGGCCGGTTTTCAGCCAGATTTCTCGCGTGGTTTTCGTTGTGGCCGGTAGCACTGTTGACTTAAGGTAAAAACCCTAATTCAAGATTGGGATGGCTCAAGCCCAAACCCGGTTGGGTTCTTCGTTGGACTTTATTTGGGACCTGGTCCGAATGAAAAACAAAAAGAATTAATAAAAAAACAAAAAAACATATAATAAATAAAAATAAATAATTATAATAATAATAATAAACATATTTCCAAAAACTATATAAAACTATATATTATAAAAAATGTTTTCAAAACTATATTATATATATGTTTTCAAAACGTTTTAAAAACAATATAATATATATGTTTTCAAAAATGTTTTAAAAAACTATATATTATATATATATATATATATATTTAAAATGTTTTCAAAAACTATATTATATATATATATATATTCAAAAATGTTTTAAAATTATATATTATATATGTTTTCAAAATGTTTTTAAAAACTATATTATATATATATATATATATATGTTTTCAAATGTTTTCAAAACTATATAATATATATTTAAAATGTTTTCAAAACTATATAATATATATATTTTCGAAAACCACTTTCTAAAAATTATATATTATATTTTTTCAAAAAATATTTTTAAAAATTATACTATATATATATATATATATATAATATAAATAAATAATATAAAAAATAAAATAAAATAAAAACAAATTTGGACGATAATAAGTGTGTACACATATAAACAATAAAAAATTCGACCAAATAGTCATCCAAAAACTAAAATCGATGTTGTCTTGTTATATTATTTGATTCTAAAATGTCTAAAATAATATTAATGTGCACTAATATCATATAGACAAAGCTCCACCAATTTTGAAATCATGAGAATGTATATCATATGTCATTATTAGTATAATACAAAATAATGAACTTTAAAATTCAAGAACAATAATGATCTTTTTTATTGAGTACAAGGAGCAGAATACTTCTTAAACCCAAATTTAAATACTTGCAATAAATGAAATCTTAATAGAATTAGTAAAGATTAAATCTTTAAGAATTTTAAGCAATTACTTTTGGATTCTGCCCTACAAAAATCTGTGAAATCTCTATTATTATTTACCCTAAATTTTTAATTTTTTTATATAATTTAAATATATATTTCATTGACAATATATTTATATCTTCTAAAAAAGTATAATTTCATACCTTTTTAATAAAAAATCATGTGTCATCTTTGTGTGAGGTTTATCCTTTTTATTTTTTTGGGTATAACTATTGGTATTTAATTTATTAATCGATTAATTCAAATCAGATAATAAAGAGGGGAGAACGATCCTCCCAACTTAGTTTTCTCAATTCACAAATGTTATGTCAGGATTCGAACACTTAATCTTAATCTACTACTTCATCCCACTAGAACAAGCAATTGTTAGTGAGGTTTATCCTTTCTATAATTATTCTAATTGTCCATTGTAATCATATAATTTTATTTATGAATTATATTGATTAAAGTATATTGAAATTATATTTAAAATATCATTGATTGATTGATTTATTAACAAAATATAATTGCAATACCAACATTGATTTGTTCAAGTGGTAAGCAACTTGATATCGATATCGCTTAAGTAAGGTTTCAAGATCAAGTTCTTGTGTATACAAAAAATCCCTGCTGATAGACTCATCCACCAAAATCAGATATACGACACGAGATGATCTGGATTAGTGAAGACAAAACCTTTGAACACATCTACAAGAAAGTATAGTTGCAATGATTGAGTATTGAACTGGTAAAACTCCATTTACAATCTCAAGCATTGCGTTTTGGACAATTAAGAACAGAAGATAAGATTTGTATAATAATAGAGGAGGTCATGCTTAAAAAGTAAAAGTTCATGGGTCAACCGAAAGGATTCATGATTAACAAAAATCAGTTGTAGTCCTTTCTCAAACAAATTTATTAACATCCATTAGAAGAAATATTTATTATTAATGAGATCAGAAAAAATAAATACTCATAAAAATTAAAAACCCACATAAAAATAATTTATTTTAAATATTACTTATATAATTACAATTAATATAATTCTAATGACTCAAAATAAAATTATTTCTTATAACATACAAACAAACAACTTTGAAATCATATGTATATAACCAAATAATTATAAACTAATTAAACAAATTGCAAAGCCATAGAGATCATAAAATAGGTAACAAAGAAAGAGATTGAAAAACCAGCAATCTTGAAATTTGAAAATGCAATTTTGAAAGCAAATATCTTAAAATTATATATGAATTTAGTTTAATTTACAATACGATATATAAATTGTAAATTGTTAATATTATTACCAATATGACATTATTTTATATATTACTATTAGGTTTATAAATAATTATATTTTTAGTATAAAATAATTATATTTATTAATTTTCTGAATATATAATTAAACCAGTATTTATATTACTAACTTATAATAAGAAATATATAATTTTCTACATTAAACTTATAAACATCAAAAAGAATAATATAACAAAATACCCCTAACGTTCGATAACAATGTCAATTTAACTCATGCTATACTCAATAATGTATATGCTAAATATAACTTTTTGCAAGAGATAACCAAGTTTGAAACTTGGTCTGTAACTGAAGGTAAGGTGCTAAGGCTTTTTACCTAACGATTGTCAAATATATATATTTTAAAATTTTATATTTAACCCAATGCGATGATGACACATTTTATTATTTCATTGATTGATAATTATTAAATAAAATATATAAAAATATTTTTAAAAATATTTTTAATGTTTTATTGACATGACGTTTATCTTATCATCACTTTTACATATGTGATACTTTTAAGTTAGCATGTGATGTCATGTAAACTTGTTACATAATTTTTATGTTGATCGTTAGTTGACTAATAATTTTTATTTACATGAATTTTTTATCCTAAAATAAAACGTAAAAGTTTAATATTCTAAAAAATAAGTTAAAATAACATTATTGTCAAACGTTAAAAATATTTTATTAGATTATATCAAATAAGATTCATTAATAAACTAAAAGTATCTCAATATTATCTCATTTTCAAACTACAAATTTATAAAAGTTTAGTATGCATAGTGACGTAGTGCTATAGGCACACAGTTGATCAATATAATTAAAACAAATCTGACAAGAAAACAAAATTAATAAAAACAAATCATCTTACCACCGCCTCAACAACCATACTTTCTTCAATCAAATTCCACAATTTATCTCCATAATAACAATAGGGTAAACTATTTGTTTGGCCATCACCTATTACTTAATTTTTACCATAATAATTTTATTATTTTTTTCAATATCATATATAACATTATATTTTGGATTTTTTGGTTCATTTTAATCATTTATCATTGAAAAATTAATAGTGATATTGATGTGTTACCATAATATAATATTATGTTAATATTAAAAAAAATATTACATCAACATCGTTATTAATTGTTTAACAACGAATGATCAAAATATAATTAAAATAGTACGTTAACTATTATTTAAAGAAATAATTAGATGACTAAAATAGAAACTCAGTAATATGTGGATGACAAAATAAGTAGTTTACCTAGAGGTGTTCAAATGGGTAATTCGGTTAACCGACTGAACCGAATTACCCAAATTCCATTAATCAAATTTTTTTCTTTATACGTTAATCAGACTGAATTTTTTTTCTAAAAAATTTAACAAACCGAACTAAATTCGATTAATTGATTGGTTAACTGAATTAACCAAAATTTATAATACTATATATTATATAATTAATATTTTTTGATTCATTCGGTTAATTTGATCGGTTAATTCAGTAAAAACCTAATTCAAACATCCCTAAAGCTAAATAATATATGTAATATATTAAATATTTAATAATTTTGATTAATTCGATTAATTAATTGATTTCGAACCGAATTAACCGAAACTTAAAATTGAAAAAAAAAATATTAACTTTTAACCGATCGAACTTAAAATTAATCAATTGATTAACCAATTGAAATTTAAATTTGATCGGTTAATTTAGTTTTAACTGAACATGGAACACCCTACCCATAACAGTAATAATTAAAGCCTGGTTTTATTTATATATAAAATATCAAAGGAAAATTTTAATTCAGTACAAATAAAAATAATCATTATCTTAAAGTATATCATTTATGATTGAATTACGACACATATGAATCATGGCAGAAAGGAGCGCATTTTAGCAAAACTGAGCGCCGCCGTGGCTGCTCATGTTAGCGGCTGACGGTATCTCGAAATGCCATAGTCTACCGACAGCCTTGATCAAGTATTTCCTACACAAAAACTCCTTGGCGAAAGTCTTCTCCACCTTCCGATCAACGTCGTGCAAGAACACGTCCGTCACGCCAGTCCCTTTCCGGTTCCTCGCCATGACAGCAGCCGAGAATATCGCCGCCATCCTACCGGGCGCCGCCGGGGAAAACCCACGCGGCGCATCGATCATTATTAAATCCCACTCCGTATCGTAGAACTCATCGGGAAACCCCGTCAAGGCAAGCTTGCATTTCTTGTTGCCGCGTAAATAAGCTTTCGATGGGAAACAATTCTTCTGGGAGCGGTAATGGGAGAGCAAATCGTCGGCTTCCTTGAGCTGCGTACGATACTTAACGGGGTGCGCATGGAGGCTGGGCGCATCTTTGAGCACCTTCTGGACCCATTTCGGATCCTCTTCGAGGAATATAGTGTGCCCATTCGGATTGAGTGAAGTCCACATCAAGGAATCGTAGCCTAGTCCGAAGACGAGGAAATTACAAGGCGAACGTTTCTTGAGTACGTCGAATGTAACGGAGATCTCCTTGAACTTTTGTTGCGGTACGATACGCGAGGTTGCATAGTGGATGATGGCTTGGAGTTGGATCGGCGTGACAGAGTTTTGAGCTACGGCTTGAGAAGATGATTCGGTGTTGGTGACGGAGGCTTCAGCAACGGCTTGAGATGATGATCCGGTGTTGGCGACGGAGACATCAGCAACGGCTTCTGATGATCTGGTGTTGGAGACGGAGCATAACAGCGAGTAGTCGGCGGCTTTTATGAAACTAGAGGTTAGTATGGCTCCGGCGATGAGGCCGGCTATGACGAGAGGGAAAACGCATCTCCTATCGGCTAGGAATTGCCGATGTTTCATTATATCTTCCCTGTTCATTCTCTATTCGTTTCACCCTATCGATAATCTGATTAAATGAAAGAAAGAATAAGAAATTCTGGGTTTAAATTTTGAGTTATTTTTGTTCTGTAGAAGATGATGGAGGAGGAGAACAAGGTGATTGAGCAAGGGGACCAGATTTTTAGCTAATAAAAAAAGCTGATAAGATAGAAAATTATATTTTATATTCTATCATTGAAGAATAAAATAATATCTATTATTTCGATATTTGAACTACCTGTAATTGAATACTCTGTTATTCTAATTTAACATGAATAAAATTATGATTACTATTGTCCTGAATATAGAAATTATGAGTTTCTCTTAATATTATTAAAATATATGAATTATTATAGTTAAGCATTTAATCTAATTAGTACGGAATTTTTTATTTTAATTAAGAAACGCAATAAAATTCAAATATTTAAGAAATTTTTTTTTTATGATTTTATTCAACTTGAAGGGAAAAAAGTTAAAAAAAAAAGTAAAAAAGAAGAAGAAGGTTATATTAGAGGAGCTCCTAGGGGTAGTGGTAATAATATTTTGAAAATCGGATTAGATTGGTCGGTTTAATCGGAAATTACTGTTTGATCCGGTTCATTTTACATCAGTTAAATCGTTACTAGTGAATCAGAAGAAATCGTTGAACCGGCTGTGAACCGTTGAATCGGACCGGACCGTGAACCGGTTGAAAATCGGTTTTGTTTTTTTTAAAAAAAAATAAATCAAACGACGTTGTTTGTTAAACGAGCCGGGTCGAACTTGAAAACTTTAAAAGTAAGCTCAACTCAACTCAAAAACTCACGAGCTAAAAATTATCAAGTTCAACTCGAACTTGAAATATAATATTGAAACTTGAACTCAAAAAGACTCGAACTCAAAAAAAATTTAGAAGCTCGATTGAAGCATGAAATTCGAACTCGATTGAAGCGAAAGAATAGTTCGCTATGTGTTCACCAAAAGGCTCCATGATTTTGAATGTTAAATTACCTCTATTATTTATAGAAGTCAGTTAGGATACTCTTCTATGTTTCTTAGCCATGTAGAATTATTTTGTTTTCAGATTTTTACTCTTTAGAATATTGTGATACTCTTCTATATTTCTTAGCAATGTGGGATTTTTTTTAAATTAAACCAAACAACATCGTTTGTTATGATTTTTTAGCCCCAAATTTATTTTTTAATTATATTTATATAATTATATTTATTGTTTAATATGTTTTACCTTAAATATTTTGTTGTAGTTAATTTGAATCATTTTGTTTCACTTGATTTTATGATTTTTAACTTATATATGTTATAACTTGCTTTGAAAATGACTTGTAATATAAAAAATTATTTTTTATTAAATATTTTTTATATTTTTATTTAATTTTTTTAAAATAATTAATTAATTATGATGTTGTTAACACTGTCTCATAGAACATCTGTCCGCGATATTATGTTTTGAATTTGAAGTCTTATCTTGTCTAGCAACGTAGCATTTGGTGATTGGTGAATCTAGTAATGTGGGCTCCACACTTTGTTTGCTTCTTTTAATTTAGTTTAATTTAATTTATAACATTCCACCAAACGTATCTAAATAAATGAATTAATTATAAAGTAAGTAAACTCAATTTATCATTAATTAATTAGTAGATGTTGTTTAATGTTTAATTTTGTTCTTGTTTTACTGTAGGTAGTTATACTATACTACAATTTTAATATACATCTAAAAAAATGTCCTACAAAAAATGTTAATATTTTTTTAATATTTTCGGTGAAACGCTATGTAAAACATTATTTTTTTACCGGAAGTGTTAATTTTGTTACCTAATTTTAGGTAGAACTCAATATTAACATTTCTGATAAAAAATAATATTTTAAGTAGTGTTTTATCGAAAATATTAAACATTTTAGGTAGCGTCCAATATTAATATTTTAGTAAAAAATAATATTTTAGGTAGCATTTTACCATAAATGTTAAAAAAACATTAATATTTCTAGTAACTTTTTTCTTTAACTATATATTAACACTGTTGCACTTGAGACATCCTCTTTGCTCCTAGTCCCTTCCTTACCTATGTTGGTTAGTGGACATGCTTCATGGATATCCCCTCCCCTCCCCTAAGGATGTAAAATAGGGTAATCGTTCAGGTTTCAGTTGGATCCTATTAGGTCGGGTAAAATTGGATACATGTCAAGTCAAGTAAATTTGATGTTTCAACTCGGATCAGGTCAGGTCTAGGTCGGGTCATTTTCATGTTGATTTGACATCAGGTGCAGTTCGGGTTCAGGTCGAGTTACTTTCAGATCGGATCGATGTCAGTTCAGGTTCGGAACAGTTAAAGACCAAGTTAATTCAGGCTCGGATGGACTTCAAGCGGATCTCGTTCATATCGGGTCACATTATTGGCAGATAAAATTCAAGTCGGATCTCTATTATAAACGGATTAAGTTCAAATCGGGTTAATTTTTATTTTTGGATTAATTATTTTCGTCTTTCGCGAATGTTGAATTGCAATTTGTAACTGTATATGATTTAGAGTAAATTACTAAGAATATAAATAATCATGGATTCATTTTATGAAAAATAAAAATTTAAGAACTAAATTGAACAAATATGAAATTAAAAATAAAAATTTAAATAAATTAAACAACATGCATTGAATAGGGATCAAATCGAAATACTTTTAAAATATGAGGTTGAAATTAATACAAAAAATTACTAAATTATACCCATTTAAAAAGTTATGTGTCAGTTTAAAAAATATAAATAAGTAATAAGTATGAGCCAATTTCAAATGCAAATATAATTTTAAGGACTAAATTGAATAAATATGAAATTATAAATAAAAATTTAAATAAATTAAACAACACAAAGGGATCAAATCGAAATGATTGTAAAATGTGAAGAAAAATTTATAAAATGGACTAAATTACATTCATTTCAAAAGCTGAGAAAAAATTGAAACAACTAGAATATATATATATATATATATATATATATATATATATATATATATAAACTATATATATTATATAGTTTACATATGAACTATATGTATAAACTATATATAACTATATATATAAACTATATAATATATATAGTTTAATAGTTTACATATGAACTATATATATAAACTATATAGTTTACGTATAAACTATATATATAGTTTATTAATGAACTATATAAACTATTTATATAGTATATACTATGTATATAAACTATTGTTTATATTTATATACTACATACTATAGTTGATATTTATATATTATATATTATATATATAAACTATATATACTATATAGTATAGTTTACATATGAACTATACATAAAAACTATATACTATAGTTGATATTTATATACTATATAATATAATTTATACTATATAAATTCAAAGTATATATTATATGTATGAAAACTATATAGTTGAATACATTAATTAATAAACTATTTATATAGTATATACTACATATATAGTTTATATATACTATATACTTTTGCATATGAACTATATATAAAAACTATATATATAAAGTATATGGTATATATAAACTATATAGTATATATAAACTATACATTATATAGTTCATTAATATATATAAACTATATAATATATATATAACATATATATTAATTTTAATATAAACATATATATTAATTAAAAGAATTGGAAAAATATAAGGATCAAATTGATTTTTTTAAAATATGATGCTTAAATTAATAAATTGTAACATTAAATTTGAACTAAATTGAAAAAAAAATTAAATATGAAGCTTAAATTAATATGTTGCATCTTTAAATTAGGACTAAATTGAATAAATTTAAAACTAGGAGACAACGCTACAATGCAAAATGAAGTTAAAAAACACGCAGGTCAAAACCCAAACGAACCCGTATTAAAGGCAAAATTTTTCATTTTTCAGTCATTTTCCTTTCTTTTTCTCATTTTGTTATTTTGCTCTCTCTCTCTCTCTCTGACTCTCCAATTCTCTCAAAATTCTCTAATTTCTCTTTAGAAATTCATATGTGTTCATATTTTTTCATATGTGTTCATCCCAAAAACCCCCATTTGATCTTCACAAACACCAAAACCAAATCATTTTGTGTTTTTTTTCCGATCAAACACCCAAAATTTCAACCCTTGTTCATCATTGTTCTTCCCAAAAACCCTTCTTTGATCTTCACAAACACCAAAATCCAAACCATTTTGTGTTTTTTATCAAACACCAAAAAAATCAACCCTTGTTCATCCATGTTCATCCTAGTTCTTCCTCAAACCATTATTTGATCTTCACAAACACCAAAACCTAAACCCATTCATGTTTTTTCGATCAAGCACCCAAAAATTAAACCCTTATTCATTCGTGTTCATCCATTTTCTTCCTGAAACCCTTACAAACACCCAAAACTTAAAACTAACTTGTTTTTATTTATCAAACACCAAACTCAAATATCAGTTCATCATTGTTCATCCCAAACCCCTTATTTGATTATTACAAACACCTAAAACCAAAACAAAAATTATTTATTTAGATAAAACCCTAACCCTAACCCTAACCCTAACCTTAACCCAAACCCAAAACCAAACCTAAAACCAAACCCAAACCCGATCCAGATCCCAAACCCGAACCCGAACCCGAACCCGAACCCGAACCCAACTCAAACCCGAATCCGAATCCGAACCCAAATCCAAGCTCGAATCCAAACTATTCGAAACCTTTATTTTTTTACTATTTCATGGATAGTTTATCTTATGAGTTGAGTTATCCAGGTATTTTCATTCCTTTTTTTCATTTTTTTTATTTTTATTTTAATATTCGAATTTATATATTCTTTATTTGTTTTGTAAGAGAAAACCCAATAGATCAGAATGAAGAACATTCTAAAAGAGGTAAAATACTTATTCCTTTTTTTGTAAATGCTTTATATATATATATACATATTTTAAATTTTGTATACTAACCCTATTTTTTTTTTGCAAGGTGATGTAAATGATCTACTCTGAGAAGCACTTGATATCAATAAATCATCTAAGAAGAAGACTAAATGTTCAGCCGAGTTCGAGAGAAAAACTTTTCCTGTTTGGGAGCATTACACCTTCATCAAACCTGTCGATGGTTCTGTTTATGCCCGAGTGT